GTAGGGGGAGAACGTAGTTTTTCCTCTGAAAGCCAAAGTGAAAAGGAAGCCTCCATTTTACTTTAAAGGTAACCGTACTTGTAACTTGCTAGCCTTGCTAGCCTTGGCAACCTCCATGTTCCACTTGGTCAACTCGTTCTGGTCATAGGCAACACCATCGATATAAATATCAATCGTGCCACTAATCACAAACACGCGATGTCCCTCGATATCATAGATCTCATCGTTAGGGTCGTGAAATACATCAAACTGGGGATGATATTTGAAGTACCTGTCATCATGGCATGCAATCTTGAGCAATCGTTCAATGTCAGGTAAAAAGAACAATACGTACGGGGGATCGAAGTCACAGTGATAATCTACACCCTGTGGATCTTCGACGAACGAGTTGATCACGTCATGCACGTATCGCCGCGCGATCTGCTTTCGAACCGATGTCATCCAGCTGTTCATTTCTATTTGTATTCTATTTCACTTTAATCTCTGTTGGACTGATCGTGATGTCACTTCCACGATCATTTTCGGATTCATTCTTTTCGTTGTAAACACATAGACAGCTACAGCGATCTTTGCATTTCGAGTCTATAACCAGTTTGTGTTTCTTCCTCTTACTCATCCATTTCCATATCCCTTTCAACCATTGAATAAAGCGGTTCATTTATGAACGAAATCAAAGAACTACGCAATCCAGCAAAACGAAGAGGTGCAACTCGAATGATCATTAGTGGATTCAAACGAAACATATACTTCATCGATCTTATCGATTTCTCTTCCAAACAACACAAATCGATACAGGAAGTATTAGGAAGACAATAGAGTACTGGATTCTACAAGAATCGTGGATACAAATATGTCCTTGTATGTATTGATGGATATTCGAAATATCTGATGACTCGGAAACTGAAGAGCAAGAGTGCTACAGAAGTCACGCATGCGATGAAGGACATCATTCAGACATATGGCGAATCACCAAAGCATAGTTACTCGGATCGAGGCACCGAGTTCACCAATGCGATCTTTCGTACCAACATCTTGAACAAGTATGACATCACCATGTATCACATGGATTCAGCGAATAAGGCGGTGCTAGCCGAACGAGCTATCCGAGATATCAAGGAACACATCATGGTTCCATTCAATCAATGGAAAGGTGTATGGTTCGACTTGATCGATGGTGCAGTTCGTAGACACAATGGAAGGAAGAACAGAGACATCGGATATACACCCAATGACATTTGGCTTAACAACAACGATATCTTGTACATGGAGAAAACAGAACCATCCAACATGACAACAAAGGACACAACACCTCAATTCAATGTGGGTGATTATGTTGGAGTGACACGAAGACCTCGCATTCTGGAAAAGCGATCATTGACAAGCAAATGGTCTCAGGACTTGTATCAAGTTGTTGACATTGACGATCGGTTCATGCCACTGATGTACGAAGTGAAAGATGGAAACAATCGCACCCAAAAGTGCTATCACTGGAAACTGCTGGCTAGCAAATGCAAACCACAACCAGCACCACCCATCACTCGATCCAAGAGTCGAAAGGAACCCAATACATTGAGAGAGGCAGCAAGATCACATCGACCCATTACGAGGAGCCAGAAGAAGAAACAACCTCGCCCAGGTGTTCGAAAACGATCGTGATGCTCTTCACGCCACCGAGAAGCATGATAGGAAGATTCGAATACGTACGAAGGACAGGAGAGGTACCAACATTTACAACAGCATAACCAGTATGAGATACAAGACTATTCAATGTATCGATATACGGTCTGTCTAGGATAGGCGTATTGTCAAACGTGACTAGCACTCGATAACCCTTTTCAACCACCGATTCGATTGAGTCGCAATCGTTGAACATGTGATCGGGAAGGTACGTTATGACATTCGTGGTCACCAGGTATGATCCGGACGGCATAGGCGGCATACCATCACCACCCCACTCGCCATTGAATGATTCGGTAGCTTCTGGTGTGTACTCGAAGACAAATGCTTCGTTCGCTTTCACGATGCATGAAGCACTGCCCCACGAATACTGAGGAACGCCATCCACTGTCTCTCGAATTAGCACATGATGACCATCCTTCTCTGGCATATTGATGAGCATGTTGTCGAGCTTCTTGAACGTGTAATTGTTTCCATTGCTGCTGAAAATGTACGACATTTACTTTGGTATTTCTATTTATTTCCCTCGCTGATATGCACGAACGTACACACCCTTCAGACATGCGCCATCATCGATGAACAGATCGGACAACTCGGGAGGCACTTCATCATCCGCCACCTTGTAGACCACGCGAACATAGTAGTTGGAGAAGAAGTAAACAACACGATTCTCAGTTTCCACAGACACCACATAAGGCTGGGCGTAATACGTCCTGCCGAAGACGTTCAGAGGCACACCAAGCTAACCATTGGATTCCAATTGAGGCAATAGATACTCCCATTCATCCTCGGTAAACAAGGGCGGACGAGTTTCATCCAGAGTCATCTCCATGCAATCATAGTCGTGCAAAATCAGGCCACAGTTCACATTTGCTTGCAGGGTGCGAACACTGAAGCCGAATAGACGATTAGAATTGATCGGATACTTGGTATGGATGATGATATCGGCGAGTTCGATATTCTCGTCCTCACAAGTGCGTACCAGGGATGACCATGTGTTATTCTCTGTTTTCTTGTACTTCATTTAGGAAGGTGTGAACTAGGAATAAAAGGGAAATATATATATATATATAAATATAAATGGACAGACCTACTCACACATTGAACCCCAATACAGGACGAGAAATTCAAATCAACGGAGTTCGATTCTGGAACCTTCTCAAACATGGATTCAAGTACGACGAGAAATCGAATCGCTTGTACGACAAACCATTGCCTGAGGGTACGACGAAATACGTTCCCAAGTCGAGAATGTTTTTACCCACCAATCGCTCAATGATTATTGGTGGTACAGCATTCAATGAGTTGATCCGAGACAATTACAGACATGTGAAAGGACAATGGGTAAAGATGACAAAAGAAGAAGCCGAGACGTACGATAACGACCCGAACATTGGTATGATGTTCACTGACAGTGAGTCGGATAGCGATAGCGAGTACGTCGACATTGATGAGTTCGAGTACGACGCGGATGATCATGCTATTTTCCCATTGTAACTAATTCACACCATTTCACTTTGGTCACTTAAAAACTCTGTGACCCTAATATAAATGAGTTCACATCGCGTTGGCTATACTATCAACCCTGAGACAGGAAAACAAATCAAAATCGGTGGACCAACCTGAAAGCAATTGGCAGCTAAGTACTACATGATTGGCGATACATTCACCAATCAGACCATGCCTGACTCGAGAGCCTATAAGTCGAACAAGGTGCTCGGGATGAAACAAGCAACACCTAAAGGAAGCGTGATGCTCAGACAAGTGAGTGATATTGCGGGAGAGCGCAAGTACATCTACGTGGGAAGCAAGGCATGGAACGAGCGGTACCTCGAGTACGAGTGGAACGGACATGAGTTCGGTCAGAAGCGACAACGTCATTTACCCGGTTACCTGAACACCGTGGAGAAGAGGCGTGAAATGAGACGCAATAAGGCATTCGAACGCTTCGATCGCAAGGTATCACAGGGACGCTTGAGTGATGTGATCGACTCGTCACTCGGATATGCACTCACATACTATCACACCGTGGAAGGAGACATGTACAAGGAATGGATGAATGAGAAGCGCACCAAGAAGGACTTCCGCCTCAAGAACGATGACAATAGACTATGGGTTCGACTACCAGATGGAAAGAGCGATGAGGAAGTGGAACCGATTAACCTCGTATTCGATGAAAGCGAGGAGTTCAATGAGATCGTGAAGAAGTTCATCATCAAAGGTATGCGTGAGTACAACCAGTGTTTCGTTACCATCATGGCATACAATCACATGTTGACACATGACGGAGACCCCAAGATTCTCAACCTCACCGATGATCGACTGGGACACCTTCGCATCGTTCGCCGAGATCGTATCGACGAGTGGATCGAGGAGTACCTGAAGTGGTACAGAAATGGTGTAGAGGAACAGGAGACAGAGGGCAGTGGGTTCGTGTAACGTGGTTGGATCGGTTTTCATGTCGAGATGTTCCTTCTCCGCACATTTGTGAGCTACAAGCACCACACACCTTATATCATTTGACAGACGGCGGTCAACCCCAATATCGATGACAACCGATGTCTGTAATGGTGTCTCATCCTGGCAAGTGAAGGCGGGCACAAGATTATTGCAAATCGCAAGATGGGCGATGCGAGTGTGTACAACAAGTGGTGGAAACAACCTGATGAGTACAAAGTATTCGGAGTGACCATTCACGAAGTGGAAGAGGCGATGAGCATTCGCGACAATGCACCCTTCAACGCGAGTGAAGAGAAATTCGCCGCTTTGGAAGCATTGTTGCAAGTAACACTCAATGTCTTCGAGGTCACACTCTTACCTGGATACACCGATAAGACGAAGGAGCAATTCGATTTATTCACATGCTATCTAGTGTACAAAGGTAAGGGAGCGAAGCTTCCCCTCTCTCTGCATCTTGAACGATCTGAATCTACCCGAAGGTACCCCCAAGCACTTCTTATACATCAAGGACTTGAGCGATTTCAAACATCGCATCTTTCGTCAGAGTGATGTGAAGAATAGAAACACAGCGAGAAACGTGAAGTGCAGATTCTGTGACGACTTCTTCGGATCTCGCAAAGCCGTTCATGATCACGAAGTACAAGCACATCGAGAACTCGTCGATGAAAGCGAGGAGTACGAGTTGTCGAACGAGGAAACTCGGTTGCGATTCACAAACCAACGATTCGAAATGCCAGCACCGGTCGTCGTGTACGCTGACTTCGAGTCAGCCATTGATGACAAAAACAGACACAAGCCGATCATGCTATCCTGTCTAGCCGTGTCTCGTATCCCTGCCATTGATACGCAGCTATGAGCCTTCCATGCACCACACGAGAGCGAAGAAGATCTTCGTCCTTTCATGGACTATCTCACACTATTGCAAGAGTGTGAAAACGTATCTATTCGATGAATTGCCATTGGAGAGCACATCGAAGGTCGAGAAGGACTTTCGTTCAGCAACCGTGTGTCCCTTCTGCCGCAAGAAACTGGAGGACGACAAGGAGGGAGGAAGCGAAGCTTCCTCCGGGGTGAGCGATGCTCGCCCCAAGGTTAGACATCATGCACATGTGGCAGGTGAATACACCACAGGAAAGGGAGAAGTACGCCACTTCGAAGCCGGACAGTACATCTGCACCTGTTGTACCAAGTGTAACCTACAACTCTCATTCAACAAGAAGAACTATCGTCTGCCAGTTTACTTTCACAATGGATCGCACTACGACTTCACATTCATCATGAAGCTCATCGCGACGATGCCTGGCGGGGACCTCGAAGTTATTCCAACCACCGAGGACAAGGAAATGCAGATCGAGTACAATGGCATTCAATTCAAGGACTCGTTGAAGCTCATCAGCAGTCCACTGCGTTCCATTGTGGCACAGACACTTGGAGGCAACTTGGACCTCTATGTGCACACCAAACAACAACTACGCAAGTACTGTGAATCTCGAGGCAAGCAATGGAGTGATGAATACATCGATTTGTTGACACGGAAGGAACCAATGTTCTACAGTCTCATCAAATCGTACGAGTCATTGAACAATACAGTCATTCCTTCTCGTGAGCAATGCATTGATGATATGAAGGGAGAGATGATGCCTCAAGACGAATATGATCACATGGTGAAGCTGTGGAAGACATTCGATATCAAGACATGGGGTAAATACTACGAATTGTACAATGTACTCGATGTGACTCTCATGGCTGATGCATTCGAACATTTCCGCATTACCACACTGAATGCATTCGGTGTTGATCCAATGCACTACATCACAGCACCGCAAATGGCATATTCGCTATTCTTGAAGGTGACAATGGAGGGCGATCATAGTGAGAGTAGCCTCATGACCCTCGCAAGGAAATGGGCTCAGTACATCATGCACATTAACGCCAACGAGGGTCTCGCCGAGAAACAACTGGTGAAAGTGTTCTTGAATCGCATGGGTGAATTCTATGAGAGCAAGGGCATTCGATTGATTGAGACAAATGATATCGATGACTTCATGCGATTGTTGAAGAACCTGCGAGGAGGTATCACACAGATCGTGAAACGACATGCCAAGGTTGACATTGACAACAAGGAGCAAGCAACGTCGTCCCAAGGCATCTACTACCTGGACGCCAACAATTTGTATGGAGGAGAGTAGTAGGGAAATGGCGTAAAACGCGCGAAAATCCATTTCCTACCAAATAACCGCGGAAATCAATTTTCGACCATTTTTCGACCATTTCCTGCCATTTTCTGCCATTGTCTACCTGCTCACCTCGATACCCATAACAAGAAACGCGCGGAAACCCATGACTGCCAATTTCGGCCAATTCCTGCAATGTTAACCTGACTTCCATTGTAGGCCATGGTATGCATGGATGTGATGGGGACAACGAGGGACGACTTCGATTCCTCCCCATTGTCTTGTTGACTAAGGTAAAGAGAGAAAGACCATGCACTACTCCATGCTTATTCAAGGCTCACCTACCAACGGCTCATTTACATGGGTTAATCCGTACAAGTACAAGAATCCCTATATCACTTCCATGACTGTCCTGTTTCATCCTAATGGTTCGATGTTTAATAACGTAGACACGACGAATGTGATTACTAACAGCAATGATGAGACTGTGACAATCCCTGCTGGTTATTACACGATCAGTGAGATCATTGCCTTGCTCAATACCATGACCGATACTACATTCTCCATATCGACGAATGCCTCGTCGTTCGGTTGTATTTGGATTCAGTCTCCACACACCATTGACTTCACAGATGCACCTGACATTCGTGAGATCCTCGGCTTCGATGGACGAACGGTCATTCTACCTGCTTCGTTCAGTGGATCGAACGTGATTGATATCACGCGAAATCGTCAAGTGATCCAGGTCTACTCGACGATCGTGCGATCATCAGACCTGAAGATTGCCAACCAGAACAACAACCTGCTCACCACGATGATCATTGACGATCCAACGGCTGACTACGTGCGAACTGTGGAAGACGTGTGCATTCCAATGATCACTCGGTTTGATCAATTGATGTTCGTGTTCCGCGATATGGATGGCAAGATGATGCGACTGAACGGCGAATTCGAACTCCAGTTGACGATTGAGGACGTGATGGAGGAAGTGCCATCATCGATTGCCTCTGCAAACCAGTTCAGTATGATTGAAGTGTTCGGTAATACCACCAAGAAGGAAGTGAAGCTGGACAATCCTCTCTCGTTCGACCAGTGCTACATCTCGTCTGTGTCGTTGTATACGGACTTCGTGTTGCACAACGTGCCGACTGATCAAATGGTGCTAATCAATGCTGGCGCTACGATTCAAGAGATCGCGATACCACGCGGTGCATATGACATCGAAACGATCATTGCAAAGCTGAATGCAAGTGATGCCCTGTTCGAATTGGTGTATAGCGGTGAGAATGCGTTCCACATCACGGTAGATCACTTCTACATGATTGATTTCACGAATGCACCAGAGATCAGGTCAATCCTTGGTTTCGAATCTGACATCTTGGTGAAAGGAGTGGATAACCCGAAGCGCTACTACCTGTCTTCCTCGTGTAATCACGTGGTTGTTACTGACAGCAGGGAATCGCACATGTTGACAATGCCTGTCGGTTACTACACGTTCAGCGAGTTCATCGAGGCTGTCGGTGCTGAAATGGTGAAAGTGCTTCCACTCACATCCATGACGATCGAGGATGATCATGTTCGCTTCAATGTCCAAGCAGACGGATGGTATTTCAATCGATCCAGCGTTGACACGACGATCGATGGTTTTGGTTGGACTCCATGGTTCAAACTGTCTCCATCTGTGCAGAACCTGTGCATCGAACGACCAGTGGAAACTTCGTTCAACCCTGAAAGCGATTCCCCACCTGATATGACGAATGATCAAGGTATTGGTGGTCATGCGTACATAGGATCAAACACCTTCATTGCGTATGACTGGAAAATGCGTACGAATGATAATCGGTTCCTGCTAAAGCCTCTCGCGACATACACGATGCGTTTAGCTGATGGTTCAGTACTCGATAGTGGTGAATTCTACATAACGGAAGATACGTCTACCCCGATCAAGATGAATACTCTTACAACCACATGTTTTAATGAGCTCAATGCTCGATATGCGAGTGCTATGGAACTACCTCCATCTCACCAGAATGCGATTGCGTGGACGGTGAATGACAATAGAGAAAGCATGTCATGGACTGCGAAGGACTATGCACCAGAATTGGAATTGCATATCACATCGGAAAATACAGGTGACTTGGTGTCATCGAATGGTTCTTCGATCGGACCTTGGTATTCCAAGGATAGTATATATCACACGAGAGTGTTTATCGATACGACGAATTTTATACTTGGAATACGTGGATATGGCGAAAGACCTCTCACAATCCAACGAGGTCATTATAGCGCTATTGATATCGTGAATATGATCGCTAATGTGATCAATAAGATATATGTAGATGCATCTCTCGGAGGGTACTTGGTATATGTCATTGCAGATAATGGTGGTCGAGTACGAATGGGATGTCGAAATGGTACAGAACCACGATTCATATTGTTTTGTGATAATCCATGTTTCAAGATTATACCCGGACCATACGCTGAACCAGGTGGTGTGTATCTGTCTTGTTATTTCGAGTTTTATCGCAATTACTACATCAGAATGCCCGAGTTGACATCACCTTACGAGTTTGCGATGGCAAACATCGATGGACTGAATGTGACGAATATGATCAAAGGTAGTACGTATTCCGATCGTGCTGTGTCGATCGAATTCATACAACCGACACGTGTTACGTATGTGGGGAAGCAAAGCTTCCCCGGGGCAGCTTCGCTGCCCCACTATGTGAGGAATGATGAAGTTGTTGTTCCATCATTGGCTACCTTCGTTGACTGGGAACAATCTGAGTCGTACACGGCTAACACGACGATTCGCTTCCCGTACGGAATGATGACACTGGACGAAGAGGGAAGCAGTGCTTCCCCCGAGACTGATATCACGTACACAGATGACGTTCAGACATTCACGTGGACCATACCATCACGGTTGACACAGGCTGACATGATATGGCACATGAACCAGTGTTTTGACTCGGCTGCACTGAACATACGATGGAAAGCTGAGACAGATGGGTACTACATTCACGCTGACCACGTGTTCTCGTTGAGTGGCAACCTGGGAACCATAGTTCCCGCTTCAGGATCGCAATCGCATACATGGCGTATCCCTTTCGACGATGGTGTGTACTATGCCAACTATGGTCCGATGGTTGCCGAGTATCCTGTCGATATCACGAACGGTCTATCGAACATACAGCTGTATTGCAACATCGTGAAAAGCAAGACGATACCACTGCTTGCGAATGTCCCGATGGACAGCTTGTACAAGAATTACTTCTACAAGAATCGCATGTTGGTACCATGTTCTGAATTGCTTGATCGCATCGTGTACGAATTGAAGGATGAAAATGGTGACCCGCTATCGTTCATTGGGAACGTGTACCTGCTAATCGGATTCACCGTTTCAGGAGGAAATAATAAATGAATCTAGTGTTCAATATTGCTCGAACGTACGAACATGAATTCACAAGTAACAATCTCATCAAAAGCGACATGGTAATCGACAGAGTGACTATGAAGGGAGAATCGCCTGGCACCTGCCTTGTCCTTGATCGAGTGAACAACATGCAAGAACGACGACAGTCTCCGTTGGTTGTATTGAACGAGGAGTTTACGGAGAATGCACACATGAACGTCGTGGTACCCAAAAGTCGCAAATGGTCATTCTCGTTGACCGATAAGACCGGTGCAACGATTGCCCTGCCAATGCCGATTACAGTGTGCATTCACTTCCACACAATAAATGAGTCATAATCGTGCACTACCGGTAAGTGTGATTAACCACAATACAGTAATTCCGAAGAACAACGAACGATACCATGAAACGTTCAACACGGTGATAATGCCTCGTGACCTTGTGTACAAGATCACTTCGATTACGTGCAAGATCGATACGACGTCTCTATGGAACATTCGTGCAATGAATGTGGTGAAGGTTCAAATGCTGTCAGGGTTTGAAATGGTCTACAACGTCGGTCCTGGCTACTACTCGATTACCGAGTTATGCCGTGCGATAGCCGATTCCATCCAGGTAGACGATGTTAACCGAGCATACTTGAACAGTGATGTGGCGACCGCTGTTGACCTTAGTGGCGCACCTGATTACACGAGTATCCTCAAGTTGGAAGGTATCGTTGAGGCAGGTATGGTAGCGAGTGAACCCTACGACATCACGAATGGCATGAGTGTGATCCGAGTCTACAGTAGTATCAATGCTCAAACATTCGGTCTGAAGAGTCCGTTGATCGATAACCTGATTCATGTATCGATGGGACTGAACAACATGATCACCTGGGACAACCTATCGATCGATGTGATTGAACAATCGAACCTGGACTACATTGACTGGGTACTGACGGACGCGAATGACCGTCCGATCTCCTTGAATTCGAATGTGTACATCTCATTCACGATATCTTGTTACACCAAAGTAAAGTAGGGGCTGCATTCTCATTTTCGTACCGCTTCCGGAGTGCATGAGTCTTATT